GCCAGAGGACCGAGAAACACACGTTTCTGTCACACTTGTGGCAGAGAACTGCCCGAGTTACTGAGGGAGCTGGCCTCTAAGGGGACCATGGGTGCGGAATTGCTATGTCAGTTTTTCGGAGTATGACTCTTCCCATCTTTCTGGCTGCCCTTAGAACCTTCTGTGTGTTACCTAGAACATTGGGGAGCTCAGGAAATGTGTTAAAGTATGTATTTGCCCTTTTAGATATTTATTCTTTTTTAAAATTTTCTGTTTGTTTTGTTTTTTTGAGACAGGGTCTTATCACCTAGTTGAGGCTGGCCTTGAACTCAGTGTGTAGCCCAGCCTGGTCTTGCATTTATGCTGATCCTCCTGCCTCAGCCTCCTAAGTACTATGATTACAGGTGTGTGCCACCACACCTGGCTGAAAAAAGAAAACTCATACTGTATATGTTTGCTAGCAGTAACCAGTGACTTGCTAGTTCAGGTTCTACGTTTCTTGCTTTTCCTGATGTGTAATAATGACAGGAAGTGAGAGGGCACTGCTAAGTGATTTTGTTGTCAGGATCTATTCAGTAATATTTTATGTGTCTGCCTTTATTCTCCATTTATTTTTCTTCACTGGTGTCACCGTGGTCTTACAGCTCAGAATAGTTGGACACTGACGTCACATCCTCCATCGCAGCTGTCCGTAGATGGCATCCCCTCATACGGGAGTTCGTTGGAAGCAGCTTGCTCCAGGCACTGGTCCTCACTGTAATTATTTCTATTGAAAAAGTCTCTGGGAAATGTATTTGGAGTTGTGACCCACAGGAACGTTTGGAATTCTGAGTCACATTTAAGAACAGTCACACACCAACAGACCAGTGTCCGTACACCCATGCCAGTCTCCATTAGAGCTGCAGATGGATATTTGGCCGCGGTACACTTGAGTTCTTTGTTCTTTTATACTCAGATGAGTGGGCATTAATTTTAATTAAAAATAATTTCGAGGGAGAGTAAGTGAAACATGAGAATTGAAAATGCAAACTAATCTTTAGAAAGTAATGATAAATTTAGTATGCTAAATTCATCAAATCAGTCTTAAGTATAAAAAGTGTGTTAAGTGTATTTCTTCAAGAACTTAATAAGAGAATCATAATATACTTTTTGGGAACATTATCACTTTTGGAAAATTAACTCAGAACTGACTATTCTGTGATTTAAACTAGTACAATCATCTTTATAATCAATTATTACTAAGAATTGTATGCTTTATCACTTTTCTTTTGAGACAAGATCTCACTGTGCAGTTCAGGCTGGCCTTGAACTCACTATGTAGCCCAGATGGACCTCAGACTAGCAGGAATCCTCCTGCCTCAGCCTCTCTAGTGCTAGGTTCACAGGCATGCACCACTGGGGCCTGGCCATTTTTTTAAAACCACTTTTATTGCTGTTTGAAGGTATTTCTTTAAATCCTCTAGAATGATAAATGCAGTAATGTTTTCAAAACCTGAGCAGCAGAACATCTGAACTTACTTCATGCTTAGCTTGAGTAGCAAATTCCAAAGCAATTTCTTTCTTTTTTTTTTTTTTTTTTTCCACCAAGGCTCAAACTCAGGACCTTGTGCTTGCAAGGCAGGCACAAGGCCACTGAGCTAAGTCCCCAGCCCTAAAGTGATCTCAGTAAAAATTCTTTGAATTAGCCGGGTGTGGTGGCTCACGCCTATAATCCCAGCACTTGGGAGACTGAGGCAGGAGGATCCCTGTGAGTTCGAAACCAGCCTGGGCTACATAGTGAGTTCCAGGTCAGTCTCACTACATAGTGAGACCCTGTCTCAAAAACAAAACAAAACAAAACAAAAAAAATTCTTTGAATTCCTAGAAAGTAAAAGTGTAAAATTTGGAAAATTCACAGTAACGCATGTTTCCAAAACCAAGAATCAGGATACATACTCATGATGGGCCTCCCAGTGCAAACCTTTAAAATCCTGGTTACTGCTTTTGCGTTATAATGAAGGGAAGGAAATGAGTCTTCCAATTACTCTAAAATCAAGAAATAGAATTGAGGGAACACCTGTGCACCTTCGGTCATTAAGGTTGGGTGTTTGCTAGGAGACAAGTGTAATTAGCAGGGAGGAAGGAAACCTGACGCAGCTGTGTTGTAAGCGGTCCGTCCCTAACAGTAGACCCTGCGTTTCTGACATAACTCGCGTAAGGTTTTTCTTCATAGGCATTCAGAGTACCCTCTGTTCCTTATTCCTAAAAGGCACAGACAGAACTGCCCAAGTGCATTTATTTTATGAATGAATTACAGTAATTACAGTAATGGACCTAGCGGGCTCCTGCGGCCCTGATCCTGGCTGGTATCACTTTGCCCATTTTTCATGCAAGCTGTTCCTTCATCTTTAGGCAGAACTGACAGTATTTTTTACGTCAGAACTCATCCTTGGAACAGAGATAATTTACTGCAATTTTCATAGAAACCACGGTGTATAGTGCTAGTCAAGATTTGTGAGCCTCTTTTTGACCCACAAATCATTTCAATTAACATGTCACAGTGAAGAAGAGAAATTTAAGTCAGTTTTGTAGCTTTTCATTGAAAGCTTTGGAAGGAAAAAGAGCATTGAGCCTTTTTTTTCCTCCTGTGTTCAGCAAACAGTTATCTATCATGTATAACATCTTCTCTAAAAAATGTATCTCAAGTATAAATTTATAAATGTCACCTATATTGAAAATAGCGCTGCAGGGCCCGGGACCCAAGTTCAATCCCCAGTACCTAAATAAATAAATAAATAAGTAAACTAGCGCTGTAGAAAGTCAAAAGGCAAAGTTACAGTTGAATTCACCTCACAAAGTTGAAGTACAGAGAGCCGGACTGGAAGACTGGCTGCTCGGTCTAAACCACAGATCTCAGTCCCACCCATCCTCCATGCAGGTGATCCTGTCCACCTCTCAACTCATTTGGTCTTTGTGTGTGTGTGTGTGTGTGTGTGTGTGCGCGCGCGCGTGTGTATGTGTGGGATGGAACTTGGGTCCTTGCGCTTGTGAGGCAGGTGCTAGAACCACTGAGCTGAATCCCCGGCCCTGGACCAGAGTTTTAGCTTCCTGTTTCTTTGTCCTCGAAGCCTATTATAATTCACATTAAAGTCGCCTCCTGGAACAGTAGCGCTCTCAGGGGTGTGGCCCGGGAAGAGGGTTCTGTGTTTCCGTGCATGGTTCTAATCCATCTCATATTTAGAATGCACTGAAGGATCTCTTTTTATCTGAACTTTCATAGGCTAAATGTTGCTAAGCCATAGTAGGAAGCACCACAGTCCCGACGATAGGTACGGAGCGGGGCCTGCGCACAGCCGCCTCGCTTTGGGACCTGTCCCCGAGTGGCCCCTGACGTCACTGCCAGAAGTGAGGGTCTCTCCTCCTAGAATCGTCTTTTCCTGAGCATTTTTAAAAAAGTAAATAAGGATGAACTCTGGTGAAGTAAAATTTTCTGATTTAGAAAAACGAAGGCTATGGTTAGTGATGACCTATCTTAATTTGGCAAGATCTGTAGTATTTCTGTAGTCTTTTCTGTAAGAAACATAAGGTCTTTAACCTTGAAGGCTTTCATGTTTGTTCTTATGCTTGCCTGGACTTAAACTCAGATTTCAGTAGGGAATGTAAAATAAAACCTGAAATTGTTGGGGAGAGGAATAGCTGGACAAATTATGTACTTATTCTTTAAAAAAATGAGATGTGTATTACATATGACAAATGATTTAGAGACCTGTACATTTCTGAGTGTGTGTTTTTCTCTTTAAGTGAACTCCTAGCCCATCTCAAAGAGTCAGCTTAGAGATCACCTCTGGGGTGACTGTGTCCCCAAGCACTCTGATGGCCTGAATCTAACGTTGCCCCAGCACAGGCCTCTGTTGTCACCGTGACATTGGACACTGAGGTGCAGGGTTGTGGGAGCAGAGTTCCACCACGGACGATAGGACTTGCCGCTAGCCACCCCTGAGGGTCCCTGCGGCCGGCAAACACGCGAGGGGCAACTGCAGAGGAGCCTCAGGGGTGTCTGAACAGCGTCCCCCTCAGGAGCCGCCCTGCCCTCGTGCTGTGAGAGAAGGCGCAGCACAGTGCGACCTGACTGGCCCTGCTCCCCCTCTGCCCTCAGAGGTGAGGGGTCAGGATATCTGAGGAGGTTCAGAGATGAGATGTGGGGGTGAGATGTGAGGAGGTGAGCAGGACGTCTGATCTGAGGACCCCTCCTAGGGGTCGGGATGATGTAATCAAAGCCATCATGTTCGGGTCTCCGCACCCATGGAGACAGTGCAAAGAGGGGTGCTGACGGGCACCGCAGGCCGTATCTATCATTTGTGTATCAAATGAGTTTTCAGGTAAATTTGATTTCTACCTCATGAATCCTTAATGTTTTCATGCTCTTACCTTGAATGTAAAATTCTCACACTGAATATTTTTGCAGCTCAGGACCCTGCTCCAGTTGTCAGGCTTCGTGTTGGTACTGGGGTTGGGAAGGTGTAAGCTGCTCAGTGCGGGCCCTTTAACTCGGTTTGATCCCTGTGCCCAAGTGGTATCCAAGTGGAGCAGGACCATTTGCTTATTAAAAGAACATTAACGTGGCTAGAAGTCTGTTAGAATTAGCTCTGGAATCTTTATATTTATTTGAAGGGACATTCATTTATATAGCTAATTGTTCATTGTGTTGCTCCAGCTAGTGTTTTAATTATTTGAGTTACCAGTGTTTTCTTTAGGAGTGTAAGAGAGAGAAAATGACCTCTGCTTTCTGTACAGCAGAATTAATAGTGAATAGCCTTGAAGAGTTGAATTTGGACCTGTGTGGTATTGGATAACAGTAATTCCATTAAGTCAGTGTACAGTGGAACTTTACAGATTATTTCAGTGCTTTGCACTTATTAACATAAAAGCAAAGTAAGAACGATTTTCAGTAACGAGGCACCTAAAGCCTTGTGTTGGGGGTAATTGGAGCCGGGAAGGCGGCCTTGCTAATTCTGAATTCCTATCTTACGTCTCTTACTCAGGGTGTTCCGGTGGTGGCGATCAGAAACAAAATGATATCAGAAGGACTGGACCCAGATCTGCTTGAGTAAGTAATTTTTCTAACTCTATTCTTGTCAAGGTATTGAATATATCAGTTATAATAAAAACACTTCACAGTCTCTTTTCTCCTTTGTAGTACTTTGTATTTGACAAAGCCGTCTTCATAAATAATGTCTACATTTCAGAAATGTTCTGTGCCACTAACACCAGCTCTTCCACAGTTTAGGAGCAGTTTCAAGAGATCAGTGATGAATCTAAGTATCCAAAGGAGCCAGAATTTCATGGCAGTCTTTTTTTTTTTTTTTTCCATGCTACCTTTTTCAAAGGAGCACTGTATCATCTACCGACATTTCACTTTAGGTTTCTGTGTGTAGGAAATTTATTCTGTCCTGACCTGGTAAGCCAGATTGAGAAATCAAAAGAGCAGAAACTTATCCTAGGTCCATGTTGATGGTTGTGAAGCTAGATGCCAGTTAGTGTGAGTTTTTTACAGTACTTTTTGAGAAATGCTAAAAAATAGTAGCTTAGAACTTTGATGATAATTCATTCCATTCCTAGCAAATCTGGCTCCGTGGCTCACCCTGGACAAAACGAGTGCTAACGGATTCCTCCACACTGTTCTATCTTGCGAGTGCCTTCGATGCTCGTCCAGAGGCTTTTCCATCGGGTTCCAGTGGGTCCCGGAGTGGTCCAGGCGTTCCTGCCAAACTAGGACCGTGCTTCGTATTATCTGTCAGCCCTTGGCACTTCACAAAGGGAGGTGAACCCGTGGAAGGGTGTTCTTGTAGTGTATCCTCCAACACGCAGAGTAGGATAAGAACGTTGCCGCGTGAGCAGGACCAGAGCTCCCGCACAGGCGTGCATGAGCGAGCCTCCAGGTGGTTGGGGCGACTGGCCTGGCTGGGAACTTGGAGCTGAGCATCTCTGGAGTATTTGACGCTGGTTCTGGAAATTGTGTCTGACACCGAAAACCAGGGACTTGTGACATGTATTTTAATGTGTGTCGAACACTGAGTTCGTCCGGTGCTGGTACTCACTGGGATGTATTTGCATTTGCCTTTGACCTCTGTTTCTTGGGGAAATACACGGTAGACTCCCAGAGGGCTAAGGTGGGCTTTACAGTGGCGCTGTCTCTCTCTAGAGAAAACATAAGGAATGCAAAGTCGGTGCCCTAGAAGGGCACATGCGTAGGGTGGCCAGCCTCAGCCTGCAGGCCCAGCCTCAGTCCCATAACTCAACCAGTGATTCATGCTCACAAACCAGAAATCACCCTTGCTCCCGCCCTCTTTCAGACCCGTCCTGCGTCAGTCAGTGATTTTCTCACTGAGTGTGGGAGCAGCTCTCCTACCTCGCCACAGGCCTTCGCACACGTTGCGTTTCTGGCCTGGATTATTACAGGAGCTCTGATTCGTTCTCCAAGCCGTGCGCTAAAGCCGGGTGGATGTGTTCACGCCTCGTTCCTCCTTCCGGCTTCACACGTATCCTGACACCTGACCGTCACGCGCACTGCATCAGCCCCGGGCCCTCTGGAGCTCACGTGTGCCCGTGTCCTGCAGCCACAGCAGACTGCGTGCAGTCCTCCGTGGGTATCAGCTTCCTGCTCCCTTGGGTGTCTTTGAATGTTTTTGCTGCTGACTCTAGAACCCCTGCCCGCATCTCACCGCCTGGCCAGTTTCTCATCCTCCAAGAATCCTTTCAGCATCACCGCTTTCAGAAGCCCTCAGGTGACGGTGACTCTCGAGCGCCCATCGCCCTGATCTCCCGGGTAGGTCCAAGCGTGCGTCACGGTCTGTGAACGCTGAGAAGCATCCCGAGAGGTGGTGCCCAGTCTAGGGCGGAGTTCCGGGAACGGCGCACAGTCTTCCGGCAGAGCCGGCAGCGCTCGCTGGTGACCCGCTACCTCAGCAGCACAGCCGGGGACACCAGGACGGGCAGGGTGGGCGGTTCCAGCACGTGGTGCTGCATCTGATGACCTTGTTCTCAGAGGACTCTGGTGCCTCGGGACCAGGTTCACGTGGAGCTGGGGAGCCCGGCTTCGGGAGGGGAGTGAGGTGATGAAAGGGCGGGGCAGCCACAGCCAGCCCGGGGCGGCTGCGTTTGCATCGAGGTCTCGGGTGCACGGGAAGCCTCGTCCGGAACTTGCAGGAGAGTGTTGTCTCCTTTCTGCTTTTAAAAGTCTAAACATGTCCCTGCTTTTTACTGCGTCAAGTAGGAACAGACTGCTGATTGGTAGAAAAAATCCTAGATCCGCTGGCACAGCACCTCACACAGCCAAGGTTACCGCAGGATACACGGTGACCCGCAAATGCATGGCTGTCTGATTGATTTGTGTGCATATATTTGGAAGCTAAAAGCGCAAAGACAGTGCGCACGGTAAAGGGAAGGAGCCTGGCAGTGTTCCTAGAAACTGACATCAAATGCTAGAAAACTGAAGAAGATGCTTGATAATTACTAAATATTATTTGATACTCCTAAGTGGTGATTTTAAAAGGCCAAGTCTTTTATTTTTTAAAGTAACAGTAGTTCTTCTGGGACCAAGAATTAGTCTTGTTTTGTTTGTAAAAATTAGTTTCAGCATGCCTAGAATCCCAGCACTCAAGAGGCTGAGGCAGGAAGATCACAAATTCAAGGTCTGCCTGCCATACATCATGAGTTCAAGCGTGGCCTGGACTGCACAAGGAGACCCTCAGAGCCCCCCTCTGAAAATCTTTTTGAAACAAAGAAGATATAGAACACCCTTGTTCCTCTCATACTCAGAAATTTAAGGAAAACTTAACTGTTGGAAAAGTTTAATTCACTTTGGTCCAAAGTTTAATCTTTACGTTTCCATTCGAAAATGCAAAATGGGTAAATCATGTTTTGAAATTTCTTTCAATCAACACCTAGATTTTCTTACCAGGAAAAAACTTTTCCTCCCTTATCCTGTTGTGCACTCTTACATCTGTGTCCCAGAGTTAGTTGCTGTTACTTCCTGGTAATGACTACTTTGGTGACTCTGAGCTAAGTTAATTGGCGTCCACACTGCTGGCTGGTCAGAGACAGAACCCATGACAGCCTAGGCTCAGAGCAGCCTGAAGACGGTGGTCCCCTTGCCGGGGTTGGATTCTGCCTGGCCGCCTTCTAGCACGAACCTGGCTTGATGTCCGGCCCCTCGGCCTGTCGGCTTCCTGCCCTCATCAGTAACAGGGAACCGAGGTGCTTTCGCCTCTCACAGAATGGCTGAGGCTGGGTCAGCCCAGAGACAAGCGCTGCAGCTCTGATGGAGCCGGAAATGTCCAGTGAATGTCAGCTGTGGCTTAGGAGCGCTTTGACAGAGGGACACGCAGCGCAGCAGCTCTAAACTGGTTTACGCGGCCTTCCAGCACAGCTTGTTTATCCTCCCACGGCGGCCTGTACACGGTTACGTTTCCAACAAGGACAAATTTCACCTGCATGACACTATATTCTGTTTTCTCAAACAAAATCCGTATCTTTAACTGCGGTAAAGAACAGAATTCTGAAGCTGAAATTCAGTTGGTCACACCTTTAGTTTTATTGGGAGGGTGCAGTGTGTAGCATGTTGATTTGGCTAAAGAAAACCTGTACTGGAGTTCCAGCTGGTCCCCAGACCGGACGGAGCCGGCCGGGCAGGCTGCGGAGACCCCCTCCACTGCTCCACCTCAGCCTGCCTGTCACCGCGTGGGCGGGACGTCTCCGTGCTACACGGAAGGTGCCAGAAAGAAGGGAGGCTCGTTCTGCAGGGCCTGTCCACCGCTCCTGCCCTCTCCTCACCGACCAGCGTCCTACTGTACCCCCACACTGGGCCAGAGTTTGCGTGGGGAGTTCCACAGCTGGCTCATTCCTGCTGGCAGACACTAGCTAGAAAGTGCAGGGCAAGTAAAAATAAGACCAAGAACTCGTGAACAGGACATGTTTGGAGACCTTGCTACACGCTGGAGATGGACGAGAAACTGAGGAGGAGCTCTGCCCAAGGCCTGTGTGCTCCACACCGCAGACTGCTACAGCTTTTACAACCCCAGAGGTTTCATGTGATCTGCTCGTCTTCAGGAACCTTACTGTTCTGCTCTCGCCTTAAGTATACATCCTGTTGCACCGCGTAGAGCTCTGACCACTAACAGACAAGGGTTGTGGGACCCCGTGACTCTGCGTATGACACTGAAGACGTGGAAAAGTACCCGACTGATAATTACTGCACCCTGTAGTCTTACCAGCGTTTTCAGTATTAATCTGTTTTAACTGCTTTAATATAAAGAAAAATATTTCCAAGTACTTTATCTACATAATTAGATATTTCCCCAAAGAATAATTATTTGGTTTTTTGTCCTCGAAGTGCCTATGGTTTTAATAACAGATATAAATCTTCCTTTGATGGAAAGAAACTGAACCAGCAATATCCGTGTTTGAGGGGTCGCTTCATGCTCAGGGCTGCGGAAACCGACTCAGACTAGTTTCGGCAGAAAGGAGCTCCTGGCTCCGCGCGGAGGAGCTGCTGTGGGACCGCGTCCTGGCCCCGTCTTGGCCTGGCTCACATCCACCTTTCCTCCCGCTTCATCCCGGCTCTCCTTCCTGGGGTAAAAACCATGTCTGTCTTCCTGCTGACAAGTAGCCGCTCTGTAGCCAGGGAGTGAAGCCCCCAGCAAGGCCTGGATACTTTTGTTCTTGCGAAGTGAAAGAGAGCTGCTTTTTTCTGCCCAACCCGTAGCTCATTTCTAGAGAAATATTCCGATTGGCCCCGTGTGCCTTTTGGGCGCTCTGGGGTCCCGCCCCAATTTCAGGGCCCTGCGTGTGATTGGCCAGGCCTGGGTCATGTGACCTAAACTCGCCCAGGGGAAGGGAGAGCTGTGAGGACCTAACCTTCCTTGATCACGTAGGCGGGAGGAGAGTCAGTGTCACGGTTAACATGTGCTAATGGTACGCTAAAAAGAACGGATTCGGTTCCTGTAGAGGCTGATTCCCGGAGGGCAGTGTCCCGTGTAACCTCTGCCTCAGTCCCGAGATCCAGAAAGGGAGAATTTCAAGTCCCGAGTTTACAAACTTTGGAGCCTTCGGCCTTCGAAATCCCGACGTCACAGTTGTCCCTGGTCATCAGGCCACTTCCGGGTCTGCCCGCTGGAGATGCGGTGCTCGGTGTCACACCCATTCGTGTTTGCGTAGTCTGCATGCACGAAAGGGAGGGAGGGACGGACGGACGGACGGAGGTCGGACAGACGAGGCTTTGAGGGCCTGCTGATGAGGCTCCCAGGGAAAGCGTGCTGCTGAGACCCAGCCTGAGCTCCCGGCTCGAAGTTACCAGCAGTCAGGGTGGAAGGCCTTTCACCCTCTGCGTTGATTCCCACGGAAGGGGAACGAGTCGGTATTTAAGTGGGAAAAATGTTTTCTTTATAACAACACACTGAGAAATGCAGCCAAGAGCTTGTTACTTGGAAAGCAGGTGAAAGATGTAAGATGAAATGTTGAGTCTTTTTCTCCATATTTTCAGGTGTATTTATTTTTTGCAAGTTAATATTGTACTTGGATATTAAATAGCCAAAAATTGATGAAATTTTTATTTCTCCGGGAGAAAGTTTAGAAGAATATATTCAATGTATCTAATACTGGAATGAAGAAAAGATTTTTTAAAAAATTTTTAACAAAACACTTTATATTGACATATTGGGGGCAATTTATAGTTTTTAAACCTTTAATATTGAGTGAAATCAATATTCACTGAGTACAGTACTATATTAAATATCAGTCTTTTGTAAGTTTTTTAAAAGACAAATTGATTTGTATGTATTTTAATCTTATACTCTTTTCTTTCTGAATTTTGACTCATTTTTGGCTGAGGTCAGCCTAGCAGCTAATTTAAAAATTCCGTTTTTTAAGACAGTTGCAGACTTAGTAATGAGCTAAGAATTAAGAATTTTAGTGATAATCTTGGGCTACCAATCTAATGTCTTTATTATAATCACTAAAGATTGGGATTTTTTTAAAACTACATGAAACATTGCGAATATAGTTAGAGTTTTACATACTTTATGTATTTTGCTGATAAACTGTTTTAGTGAGTCCCCCCACCACCACCATGTCGAGGATCAAGCTCTGAACTCAGGACCTTGTGCTTAGAAAGCAGGTGGTGGAACCACTGAGCTAAATCCCCAGCCCTTTCCTGACATATTTAGAGTAGTAAGACACCACACTATTACAAAGTGGCTCTCCACGGTTCAGCAGGAGAGTGCTTATTCTTTGGATTTACAGAGGCTGGCTGTAGGCTGATAGTTTAAAGTTGCAATCTTTTGAAAAATGTCTTACAGCTTCTTTCCCCAGATAACAAGTAAAAATGAAAGATTCGTGGGTGGGTGGGCAGGATGGAGGAAGAGCATTTTGATCGGAGTGGAAAGACCCATGTTTCTGTGTCCCTGCAGCAGAGCCAGGTCTGGCTAGAAGCAGTGGTTTGCTCTGAGTTTTATTATCGCTGTAAACATTGCTGTAAGGCAAGTGCTTCCCCATAGACCTCATTTGATTCTTGTGGTTTCTCTCCTTTGGGTACCCAAGAGAACTACTGTATACTTTCTGTTCTCCTAGCAATTTCTGTTTCAAGTAGCCTTAAATTTATTTGAAAATGGGTGAGGGTAGACAAAACCAGTACTGGAAATCAGAACCCTGCGCACTGTCTACAGGAATATAAACGAGGCATCTGCTGTGTGGTGTGGTTGTTCCTCAGAAAATTAAAAATAGGATATGATGTCATCTAGCAATTTACTCCTCTTTGAGGTGCATCCCAAAGGACCACAGGTGAGATCTCAGAGAGATCTTTGTACACTCGTGTTCAGAGCAACATTATTCAGAAATCACCAAAGCGTGGGAGCACGACGGTCATTGGCAGAGGAAAGGAATAGTATGTAGCCTTGAAAAGGAGGGAGACTTTGACGCATGCTACAACAAGGGTGAAGCTGTGGGGCACAGTACTAACTGAAATAAGCCTGTCACAGAGGGAGAAATAGTGCGTGACTCCACTTGGCTCCGGCATCTGTGGTATCCCGGCTCATGGCCATAGAAGGAACAGTGGCTGCAAGGCCCCGGAGAGGGGGATATTGTTTGACAGGTGGAGTTGCAGTTTGCAGGACAGGAGCCCTGGGCGGAGGGTGGTGACGCTTGTACACCGTCTGCCTGGCACTGCTGAATGTGCTCAGCACGGTGGGTTGTGCACTTTAAACCACGACAGCGGGTCTGGGCATTGAGTTCCGTGGGGGTGCACTCCCCAGCGTGTGCACAAACACAAGGCAGTGCGTACACATGCACACACACACACACACACACACACACAAAGGAAAAAGTAGTGAAGCTGGTAACTGTTACGCCACCTGCATTTTGCCGCGGTAGCAGAATGAGCAAACACGACAGACAGTGGGCGGGGTGAGGATGTGAGAGAGCAGTGTGGACCCAGCTAGCAGGTCCTCATGAGCTCAGCGGGGCTGCCGGGAGCCTGCAGGTGCAGGTGAGCCTCGGAAGCATTCAGGTGGAAGCCGTACACACATGCTCGGACAGCAGTGTTTCCTAGAGAGAGGGAGGCAGCACCGCACCCTGGGCTGTGACGGGGGAGGCAGGACGATGCCTGTGGTGAGAGAAGCGGGACTCGGGGCCCAGTGCCTAGGAGGCCATTCCGGAGACAGGAAGCAGCGCGTTGTCGAGCCAGACACTCGGCAAGATGGAAGCCACGGTCTGAGTAACTAAAGGTAGCTCGTAGGCTACATTCTAAGTAATAGTTCTGCTTAGTGAGTGTCCTGCCTCTTTACTAAGGCAGAAATTGTCTTTAATTTTGTCATCCTCTGCATTTCCCCCGGCTGTGCTTTGCTTGCTCAGTTTACCTTCTTGGCAGGAGTGGCTGGGGGCTGGGCGGTACTGCGGTCGTGCTGGGTGGTGATTTATGGCCACCCTGGGACTGGGGGCTGGGCGGTACTGCGGTCGTGCTGGGTGGTGATTTATGGCCACCCTGGGGCCCGTCCAGCCGTGGTGTGATGGCCGCGTTGCCCTCCAGTCTGGCTCCTTACGGCACCATGCAGAGCCTGACCTTACCGCGTCTCCTCGCTGTGCCTGGGAAACCATTGGGTGGTATCTTTACCAACTCATACTTTTTATGTTCATCTGGAGATAAAACTTGGAAGTGAGAACATTCTAATATTGAAAACCTTCTTTGGCTAACCACTTTTTTTCCCTGCTCAGTTTCCCGCCAGTTTCTTTCTTTTATGTATGTATGATGTATGTTTGTAGGCTTTTTGAGACAGGGTCACGCTATGTTGTTCAGGCTGACCTTGAACTCATGTAGCCCAGGCTGGTCTCGAACTCAGAGATCCTCCTGCTTCGGCCCCCCAGTGCTGAGATTACATAAGGTGTGCCCCCCGCACCCGGCAGTTGGGAACTCTCTTCCGTCTCCCTGCCTCTCTGCAGCGCTCCTGACGGGCGGGCTTTCCTTTTCCTTCCTTTTCCGGCTCGCCTTTCTCAGCCCTGTGTACACAGGCAGCGTGGCGTCACCCGGTCCCGCAGCCTCGGCCTGGAGCTGGGTCTGTGTGGCGAGGAGAAGCAGAGGCGGGACGGGAGGCTCGGCCACCGCAGGAAGAGCCCTTCGTGAAGGGCGCCGGCTTCCTGGAACCCAGCAAAAAAAAGACGCGGCGGTGCCGGACGGCGGCAGCGAGAGGGCTGCGGGGGACAGCTCGGACAGCGCGTCCTCCTTCAGCGACTGAGCCTCGCACGCGCGTGTAAAGGGGCGCTCACCTCCTCCAGAAACCTCAGCTCCGTCCTGAGACTTCGAGTGGCTACGTACCCAGCGCCAGGCTTCCGGTCTTACGAATAAAGCGTTTATAACCTGCCAGTGCTCTTGTTACCGAAGTAAGTGTTCTGAAATGAAAACAGAAGAACCTGGGCTGCAGTGAGTGCCTCAGCGCTACTATGGGGTATTCGGGCACGGAGTGGCTCCCCGAGTGGAGCTCGTGTGAGTTCGGAAATCAAAGAGACCCATCGCAAAAATAAATGAATTACACAACTTTTGATTGCTTTAATGTGAAAAATATTATGTACTTCTTTGTTTGGTTTTGTTTTTTGAGACAGGGTCTCACTATGTAGCCCAGGCTGGCCTTGAACTTGAGGTGATCTTCCTGCCTCAGCCTCCCGAGTGTGCCACACCCAGCAGTTATGTACATTTCTGTCAAGAACTCTTTAAATTCCTGGCAGAAAATAATGATGGAAATTTTCTGTGACACCTTGAAACACATATCTGTTTGATCAAGTGTGTGTGTTTTGTTTTGTTTTGTTTTGTTGGTTTGTTTTTTGTTTTTGTTTTATGTACCGGGATTGAACTCAGGACTTTGCGATTTTGAGGCAGACGGCCACACTAAGCTAAATCCCGGGCCAAAACACGTCTATTATGGGTACAAGGACTTCCTGGAAGTCTTTATTAGCATGCACAGCTTTTCTAACACTTGATTTGTGCTTCCTATATTATCAAAGTCAGATGTCTTCATTATATTTATTATTAAATAGAAATGTTGAAGGTATTTCCAGTGTAGTTGAGAATAAGCAAGAGTTAATCGTCATCAACTGCCTTATATCACTTAAGGAAAATTGGATTTGCAGTTAAAATGTTCTCCTCACCCCACCGTGCAAGTAAGTCTTCCTACTTAGTCTAGAAAACCTATGAAGTACTTGGGTGGAAAGATACATAAATGGGGGACCAGGGGTTTAGCTCAGTGGTTCTGCCGCCTGCCTTGAGAGGCGCAAGGTCCTGAGTTCCATCCCCGGTACCAATACATACATGCATTTGTTTAATGGTATTTGTGATGGATTATCTCTGGGTGTCGCCCCCAAAACCCACCCAGAGGCAGGACCCGTGCAGTGCTCAGATGGTGGGGTGCTGTCGGGAGGTGGGGCCTGGTCAGGGGGGCGTGACTCTGGGCGTGGTGTGGCGGTGCCTCCCTCCCTGGCCCCGCCCCCTGGCTCTGCTTCCTGCCAGCCCTGCCGCGAGCAGTCCCTCCGCCAGCCCACTGTTCCCTGAAAACTGCGCACCGTGAGCCAAGATAAACCTGTCCTGGAGCGGCGTCAGGTGCTGGATCTCCGCACCGAGCAGAGTGACTAAGTGCTCCTCAGTTTAGGTCTGCCAAAAGTGGGGACTTGAGGGAGGACCCGGGGCTGTCGTTCCCGGGGAGGTGAGGTGGCAGCAGGAGAGAACCGGTGAGGCCCGCGGAGGGAAGCACTGTCCGGGGTGTTCCCTGGGTTACCATTTGGGCATCCGGCGGCCCCGACCGCCAGAGAAGCTTGCGGGCCTCCCAGGCTGTCTGCCAGCCCCTGCAGCCCTGGTTAAGCAGCTTCTGTCCCGGGCCCTCCAGACTGTGCTGCTCTTGGGGAGGCCGCCCCCCGCCCCCCAACACTGGGGAGGGACTGGGACGGCTCTCTGGGCCGCTGCGGGTCTTACTGTGGTTTGGAATTGCGTTTCCCTGGTGGTTAGTCCTGCCGAGCAGGTTTTGTATGCTTGCTGGCCATTTGTGAGCCTTTTGAGAAATGTCCATTCGGATCATTTGCCTGTTTCTTAATCAGATTACTTGGGTGTTTTTGTTGTTGGGTTATTTGCATTGCTTATACGCTCTGGATATTAGTCCCCCGCGAGGCAGGTGGTTTGCGAATATTTATCTCCTCCTGTTCTGCAGATGCCCTTCACTGTTCACTGTTTTCTTGCAGAAGCTTCTTCATTTAATAGAATCCCACTTGCCTCACTTGCCTTTGTTGATTGTGCTTTTGAAGTTTAACTCAGAAGAATCTTTGCCCAGACAAATATCCTGAAGCATCTCCCCTCTGATACCCTCTAGCGGTCTCGTGCTGTCTGGCCCTCATTTAAATCTTTAATCCACTCGAGTTGACTTTTGCAACTGAGGAAGGATACAGGTGGGGTTTCATTCTTCTGCACGTGGCTGTTGAGCTTCCCAGAGCCATTTACTGAAGATGCTGTCCTTGCCTCCGTGTGTCTCTCGGTTGACCCTATGTATGTAGATTTACTTCGGGGTTTCCCATTCCACTCCGGTGCTCTCTGTCTCTGTTCTCGTACCATTACTATGCTGTCGGGGTCATGACGGAAAAGAGAGCGCCTAGGCACATCCTCACTGCTGGGACGAAACACCCAGCACCCACAACTTAAAGGAGAAGAGGTTTATTTTGGCTCGTGTTTTCAGCTCGTGGTCAGCAGGCTCCCAGGCAGGAAGGACGTGGTGGAAAGGTCTAGCAGAGGAAGTCTACTTACGTCCAGGTGGCCAGAAAGCAGAGAGAAAGGAGGAGCCCAGGAGGAAGATGCACCCTGCAAGGCCACGCCCCAGTGCCCACCTCTTCCAACCAGACCCCGACTGCTAACAGCTCACTCAGCTCTGCCCTTACCAGAGGATTAACCCACCCACGGTTTACAGCACCTGTGACCCAATAGCTAGACTTGGAAGTTTTTTTGCAATGATTTCAGTGAATTAACTTTTTACGCCTTTTGCAAAAACCCTACCTCTATACACATGAGCCTTTGAGGGGATGCTGTCTACCTAAACCATATGATTGAACCCCTGGCCCCTTAAAAATGCATGTCCATCTCTTTACACAAAATGCATTTAGTCCATCTCGTAAGAATTGCCAAAGTTGTAAGAATCCCAGCATTGCTGAAAAATCCAACGCCTCCTCTGAGACTCACGGCACACTCCTAGCTGTGTACCTCTGAGAATCAGAAAGAACATTAAAAATTGCCCTTATACAAGGGCACAGGGTAAACATTCTCATTTAAAAAGAGAAATAGGGAGATCAAAGGGAATGGGACCAAAGCAAGACCAAAACCCAGCAGGGCAGCCATGAAACTGCAGCTCCACGTCCAGCACCCAAGACAAGCTGTGGTGAGATGTGGGCAGCTGTGCCCCGCGTCACTGCCCACTGTAGCAGTCGTGTCCGTCTCCCGGGCTGCTCTGCTCACCGCCCGCAGCTTCCTTCAGCAGACACCCGTCTTCCTGAAGCTTCACACACTGCCCTCTTATGCACACACTGCCTGGCCTCCCCAGCCTTCTTCTGACCCACGCCCTCCAAGTCTCGTCCCTGTGACACCAGCACTGCACCGAGGGCCCCATTGTCTGCACCAGTAGAGGAATCACTGGTGCTACAGTTCCCCTGTGATCTACTCGCTTTCCAAAAACCCCGCCTCTGAACACACGAGGGACCTTGTGGGGGACATTGTGGATCTAAACCATAGCAGGAGGGATCCACAATCTAGTGACCAGAATCAATCACATGAGCCTATAATTGTTTAAACGTCACGATAAATACTACAAGTATAAGTGGAGTACTTTGCAGATAGTCCGAGGGCTTACCATGAGCAAGGTTCTTCAGACCTGGTAGAATGGTGTGTTAGGAAACGTTTTAGGGTACTTCTTTCGAGTTTTGGACGAACGAGAATAATGGATCTGAGTTAGAAGTTAGAGTGAGGAGAAGTAAACAGCTGGAAGCTGTGGGACAAGGAATCGAGAAACCAGACACAGCAAGGACAACTATGTCACAATACCAGAAAACCAACGCATAAAGATGACTGCCTCCGCAAGACCCCAGGGAATGCACAAACCTAGAAGTACATGACCCTGGCCTGCATCCAACGTCATTTTCCTGGGGAGTTTGACTCCTTCAATGGGCTTTGGGTGCCATGACACTTTCCGGTGGTGGGCGGGGTCAGAGACCCTATTGGGCTATGCGGCTGTCAATCCCCACCTATAGACCCGCCCACAATCCCAGGGTTTAGGAGACCTAGTGACTTCCCCAGTGGCGATATGAGGTCTCCTTACTGATCCACTCGCCCTGGGGAGCAAGCTTTCACTTCCCTTGCTTACTCTCATTACTCTCTTTAAAACAAATCTTACTCTTATTACGCTTTGGAGTGTCCTGCTCAATTCTTTTTTCAGGAAACCCAGAACTCGGAGACAACCCCCCTGAACCCTTTCCCCAGCCCATAACACGTCTGCTTATTCGCCCTCACTGTGGAGTCGATGTGAAGATAACTTCCTCTTCCGCATTGTTCTGGGTCACAATGGGCTAATATCAGAACATTTTCTTCTAAGTCGGTGCTCAAGTCGCGGTGTGTTTCTTATGTCACAATAGCCACGTATTTCTAGAAGTGTACACCTCTCCTCAGCCTTTCATTATTTATCTGTCCATTTTCACAGTACTGGGAACCTTCTCCCTCTAGAATAAGGAAGCTGAGTACAAAAGAAAGGGGTCTTTTGGAATTTCTTTCTTTGAAGTAAGAGTGTAATTACTTTGTATTGTGCAGCCCAGCCCAACCCATAAAGCAGTGACAGTGGCAGCAACACAGGCCCCGCAGTCAATTTATTAAGCAGAAATCTAGTTTGATTCCTAGGTGCAAATTCCCCAAGTGCCCGCTGATGTCACCTTTCCCATGGGGGAGGAAGGGCCAAGTGTAATCCGTTGCCCACTCCTTTTATCTGCACTAATAGTTATAATTTCAGGGCAGAGCTTTTTCCATGCTGACCGTAATTATGAGGACAAGAGATCTCAGTGGACAAGGTGACGACACTCAGCATGGAGGGAAAATAGGACAAATCAAAGTCAAGTAAGTTTCTCCTCCTGGAGCGACGGCCCTGAGGGAACAGCCCATGCACTGAGCTCGCAGATGGAGCCCCCTCGGCCCGTCCTGTCCTGTCCTCTCCTCCAGGTTCACCTTGTTCTGCGCCCTACACTGGCGGCAGGTGTTTATGAACCGCCTGTCCTTCCAAAAGCTCTGCTGTCTGCTGATCCCTCAGATGGCCCATCCCCGCCTGGCAACTGCTCCCAAGGGCCCTGAAACCGCAGACTCCCAGCAAGTGGCAGGGCTTGGGGCTGCAGCTCTCCCCGCGGGGCGTCACACACAGAATTTAGCTTCTGGTAAATATGTTTTTGGCTTGCTTGCACTCCAAAGGCGGTAAGGCTCTGTGTTTCAAAAAGAGAGAGAGACTGCCTCTATTCAAGAGCAAACTTACTTGCTTCCTAAATGCAAAAGAGCCTTGTAAAACA